TGAGAAGCAAACTATTTAATAACTCATTCTGTATTGTAACTTGGTTTATAATTGTTTTAATAAGAGATTAATGGGTTTGCCAACATAGATGGGTCAATATATTGTGATTTATAGGCAGTGGGAATACACAAGCTCGTCTTTCACCACACCCTGAATATCCAAAGTAAGACAAATATTTTTCCTGAAGAATGGTTTCTAGGAACAGGACTGAAGGGAGACAAGCCAATCTGCCAGCCATACTCTAAATTAACATAAATTTCAGCTGCTAGTATTTCCCACATGTCTCCACTTGAAGACTACTGACTCCATCTTTGTTTTATTAAATTACCAACAACAAAAGAAAAAAGCAATTTCTTTAAAATGGAATTTGATATGTGAAAGAAAGGAATGGAATGTCCCCTTAGCAGAGTATTATTCACGAAAGGAAACACATTTGGTTTTGGGAAGAGCACTTGAAGTGGTCTGAAGTGACACACAAGCAAATGCCAGAAGAGCATACTCACTTCTGAAAGCTGTTTTTCTGAATCTGATTGTTCGTATTTAATTCCCCAGTAAGCAATAAAATACAGTTTATATTATTGATAGCCTCAAAAAAATAAAAGGCCATTTTTTGCCAGCACCCCACTGACAACACTCCACAAACAAGGGTGGATATTTCCCCACAGAGTTTTGCTTTAGCTGTGTCAAATTACATAAATCACAGAGAAGTTCCTTTGCTGGTCTCATATCTCGTATGATACCTGTAGTCTCTTATTTGGGATATTCCCATATTCCAGTAGCACTCTGGAGTCCAAGACCAGATAATTTAGAACCCCCAAGTCAGACCTTCAGCTTTCCATCCCCTTTGCTTTGCCCAGGTAGCTCAAAAGGGAAGAGCCAAAGGCACTGGAGATCTTAACTAACAAATTTTGCTTCATTACTGAGGCCACATGAGGAAGGTTTAAGTGTTGATAGGAGCTGAAATTGGTGACTATTGAAAAGAGACCAGAATTCAAACCCACATTTATCAAGTGACAGAGAAAACTGGGTTTAATGTCCTGTAGCACATCTTGGATATCAGAAATCCTTTTAGCAGGTAATTCCTGTTTCTTAAAAAAACTTCATTAGTTTTGAGATTCTAATATTAAATATAAATAAATTATAAGGAGAGAAATAAAGGCTATGAGCTAGCCCATACTCTTGTACATTAAAAAGATGTGTACAACTAGAAAAGTTATAAAAGGTAAAAGGATATGTGAAAAAGACATCCTTATTTCTATTGTTGGTCACAGAATCGTTCATTGTGAAACAGAATATTTGTACAATGTGGCTTTTGAATTCCAGATAGACACTACATTCCTTAAGCTTGGTACTTGCTATTAATTCCAGGTACAGCCACGAGGCTGTTTACCCCTAACAGGAAAGGAATTGCAGCCAGACGTCCTTTTAATGGTGGATAACAGAGCTGTGCACAATGCTGGAAATTAGTTTGTGCTTCACAAAAGAGTGTTTAGGGTGAGGTTTGCACCTCTGGTAGGCAGCTGTCCCTAAGCACTCCTTCCAAATTCACCACTGGTGTTTGGTGCCTGCTTATAATGGAAGGAGGGTTTTAAAGTCTGGCCTCAAGGCCAGAATAAAGCACTTAAAGACATACTTATCTTGAAGCATCTAAATAGGCCAAATCTAGATAGAATCCTACTGCACAGTGCATTTTTTTTTTAACAATTCTTACTATAGTCTCTAAATCTCTCATTTCCTTTGAGTAATTTTATCAGAAAATAAGTGAAATAAAAGGTATTTGGACTGCAGTATTTCCATGTCAGGGAAATAACTGCAGCTTTGAGTCAACTGAATATTCTGCTCTGGCATCTGCTTTACTGGCTTCATTTGCTGATCTGCACATATCTTTTGCTGTAATAATTTTTAACTAACTTATTGAGGAAAAAAACCCTGGCCAGCTGCATTACTGCAGAGTTTATAGGATCGATAAGTGATAACCCGGGGAAAATGAAGCTTTTTCCTAATATCTGTACTTCCCCCTTCTTCCTTTAGAGACATACTTTGATCATGCTGTGTGCAGCTGTTATTGAGGGAGAGTACACACATCCTGCCTTGGGAACAGGAGGCACAGCCTTTAATGTCTGTCACTTCAGGGAAGTTTATCCTTTGGGCTGATGCTCATCTTTCTTCCTGCAACCCACCCAGTGCCAGCGCCGGTGCAGTTTGTTTGTCCTGTTAACCCAGGGAAGTGATAAAGATCCACGAACTCCACACTTACCAAGGATCAGGAGGACTCTGTTTGCCCAAGGGCTTCATTTCCTTTCAGCTTTATATAATGTTGACTTTCCAGCAGTGGTTATCCCAGCTGGCATCTCGCAGGGAAGGAGGGAAGCAGTCACCAGGGATCCTGACTGGCTCTCTGGGACCAGCTGCAGCAGGGCTGGGGCACAAACAACAGCAACTGGTTTCATGTTGGTCATTTTTTCACATAGAACTATAGACTTTTTTTTTTTTTTTGCACTAACCCTAATTAAATGCATATACTCAGAACAAAATACTGGTAGTTTACAATGTGATTTGACTGAAATGCACTCTCTCAGGAGACTGTTCTTCCTTTTGCATGCACAATTGCTTTTGCAGCTTTACCTTCCAGAAGGTAAATAATCACAAATATTTGAATAGCAAGAAGCCCTGTATTTTCTGCTGAAAAGAACTAGTTTTTAAATACTGTAAATCCGTAATCTTTCAAGATGATCTGTGCAGACAACTGCAGCCGAGATTTATTATTTATGAAGATTCATCAAAGACTGTAGCAGTTCACACAAGAAATTATAAATATGCAGGAAATCTGAGATTGCTGGAGTTTATGTGGGCTAACCCTGTATCTTTCAGACTCTATTCCTGACTGTTTCAGCTCCTTTACCTCCCATTGACTCCAGGTGAGAGCTTAGCAGTCTTTCAAGGCAGGTCCTGGGACAGACAACAAATTTGACCCTGGAGGGTGTGAAAAAATAGAGCATGAGGAAGTAGATCAACTTATGAATGATTCATGGAGACAGCAAGCTTGAAGGAAGTGGAGATCATGTCTGGGGAAATAGGATGCAAAACATGAGAGCCTCCTGGCTACCATGGGAAATACAAGGAATAGAACTACAAATCTGAAAGGGAAGGAATGGAGTAAAGGGAACAGCAGTGAAAAACTAGTGGAAAGTAAAAATGTGGCAAATCAATGCATTAAAAAAACTTACAGATATAGTGGAACCTTGAAGCAAAGAACAGACAGGATATACAATCTAATGCATATAAAGTCAAAAAGGCAGATAAAGCTGTGGAGATATCTCCAGAGTTTCATTTCTAGGTGACAGATGTATTCAGTGTTTTTGAAAAGCACAGTCTTCAGTGGTTAAGGGAAGAATACAGAACATCAGTTACCATTGCTACCTACGTGCTGTTCTTCGTTTAGAAGGGAAAAAAAAGGACACAATTTTAATCAGATCACTAGTGAAAAAAGTGTAATTATCACTGATGAATGAAACAGGTGATGTAGGGGATCCATGTGAGCACAGAGCAGATGCTGAGCTTTTATTCATAATTGAGCAAATCCATTGTCATTTATTTTGGATGTGTGTGTTGCAGGCAGGAGCGAGGAAAGGCCAGGGCAGATGGAAGCAATTGAGGGATGAATCCTATTGCCATTTAAATCATCAGAAAATATCCATGTTGAATAAAGGTCCCGTCTTTCATGGGAGAGGAAGGAAGAACTAGTGATCATGTCTAGCATATTTATAACTTGAAACATCCTTTTCTTCCTTCCCTCACAATGGAGCCAGAGCCTGAAAACTGCTCCACAGCAGGTACCTTGTGTTTAAAGGGAAGTGGCTGTGGATTATTCTCTCTGCAAGGTAGTAGGTGGCATGTTTTGTGGAACAGATTGTATAGATCTGCTCTAAACTGAAAATGGGAAGAAGCCTGAGACAACTGACTAATGGGGTAAAAGTGAGAGGGAAAAAAATTAATCCAGTGGGCTTTTTCAAGCTGCACTGAATAATGATGGTGCTGTTCTTACCCTTACCTCTCAAGTTCCCTTCCTGAATTCTGGAGTCCTGGTTCCTTGCTGCTCTTCACTTGGTGCCTACAGGTATAATTCCTTCTCAGGTGGTTTGTACCTGCTTCGTTCTGCCAAGTCCTTGCTGTTTCTGTTGGAGAACTGAGGTTATCGCTCTCCAGATTTTTAAGAAATAAGGAGACAAAGGTGTGACAACGGAAGCAAATGAGCCTTGTAGAAGAATTTTTAAAAAATACGTCTGTGTGCACTTAGGGCAGCCCTTGGTAGGAAGCAGCTCCCAAAGCTCATCTGGTGCGTGCGGTCCAGCACATTTCCCAAATCAAAGCTTCCAATCTAAAGCAGGCTCACAGATGGTTCTAATGAGCTGGTCTTTGAGATACACTTGGACTGGAACAAAAATAGTTTAACTCCTGAGACACTCACATTTGGAGATGACTTTCAAGCAAAACTCCTCCAGAACAATTTTTCTCGCATATTTAAATTTTATATATATTTCTAGTCTCAAAAAAAAAGCGATTTTTCAGGACCTTGCACTTTATATATTTTACAGTACAGTATCCCAAAAGCAGAGGCATTTTTACACATTGACTGATGCTTCTTTCTCCAGCACTTTTCAAACCCTACAAAAAGTTGCTTTTGAGCAAATGGGAATTAAAAAGGTAAAGATTTGAGAGGAAAATTTAATTTTTAAAGGGATATAGTATAGCACCCTACTAAAAGTATTACTCATCATTCTAATAATAAAAATACCTTCAAACGGTTTATAGCTTTGTAGCACAGCAAATATTTGTTAAATTGTATTGTTTACATTATTATTTGTTGCAAAAATAGCAGGAATTTATAATCTTTTTATGACATGGTTTGAGATTATAGTGTTCTAACTTTCACTGTTTCAAAACTGTTCTGTGTGTCACTTGAGCTTAGAGAGACATCTTATTTCTTTATCTCCTCTTAGGTCTGCCTTATGGATGGGAAGAGGCTTATACAGCTGATGGAATCAAGTATTTTATCAAGTGAGTAGTTCTGGGCAAAACGAGTCAGAGTAGTAATAAAAGCACCTCAAACTAAACACAGTTTTAAACCTAGAATTAGTGGAGAAATTTATTGTACATTGTACTGTATGCTGGGGGTTTTTTCCAGAATATAGTGAAAATTAATTTGTATAATAGAGGGGTTTTTATTTTAAGGGGTTGAAGCAAATGGTGAAAAATACAATTCATCTCCATTCCCTATATATCATGGATTTAATTAATAGCAGGTTATTCTAGCTGCTGAAATTTGCATATAGTTTAATTCTTATAGATGCCAGAAAGATGCCATTTTGCAGGTGGATTTCTGCAGTCTCCTAAAAGAGAGGAAGGGCAGCAAATAAATTACTTTTATCCCAAACTCTTATAAAAGTCAGGTAAACAACAATGAATTTGATGCATTAACTAGGCAAGAAAAGCAGGGACCTTTTTTTTCCCTTTTTTTTCAAGCACACTGCTCTGCTGTCCTTGCCTCACCCCGTGCTGCCTCGAGCAAGATCTATTAAAGCAGACATGGGTTTTTTCTGCAGAGGTTTCCAAACACACTGTATATGATCCTGCATTCCAGCTCTAATCAAAGGGTGGCTGTTCTTTGCAGACAGATGTAGGTTACTACATAAGATCTATACCAAAAAAAATTGTAGAAAAATAACTTAGGAAATGAAAGTGAATTAAAAGCCAATTTCGTAGCAATGGAAAGAAATACAAGAGCAACTATTAAAATAGAGCACTGTTCCCTTGGGCTCTGTCTGTTCATGCAGAGAGCCATGATAGGACAGTTGGGAAGTTGGATACTTTTCTGGGTAATACCCTGGGTTTATACCTGTGTGACTGCAAACTGAGCTTGAAGATAGTGTTACCCATCAACAATAGCAAGTAAAATTTAGAATCAGAAGAGGAGAGATGTCACATTCTTGAAACATCCCCCCCATTCCTGTTTTATTTTTGGGTTTGTTGCTGTGCTTCTCGCTCACGTAGGTATGTGGATGACTCAGCAGAAAGCTGGATGTGCTGAATGTGTGCAGGCATTTCCTCCTGAGCTCTGCACGTGGATGCTGAACCATTGCAGAGGTGACAACCAGATGCTTATTAGCAACAGTAGAATCTCAGCTACTCTAGGTGGTGGAAGCCCAATTTGCATTTATCCCCACTTGCTAAAACTACAGATTTGAAATCAAGATTTCACGTGAGAAAGCTTTTTCAGGAATTTTGGCACATCTGATTGTGCCAAAATAAATCCTGAATTTTCTGCCCTCTCCACGTGCTCCCAGCATTGCAGGTGAGAGTGCCCCAGGTTTGCCATCACTGTTACCTTCTGTAGTCTGTCCTGTAAAGTTCTGCCTGTCAGTCTTTGCGTGGCAGGCAAGGCAAATTTACCCATTTTAATTGCAGAGAAGGGTTTGAAATCGCCCTTTATGGCTAAAAACTTCTTCTGAGTGGAGTAACCACAAGTGGTGTTCAGAACTGTTAATGGAGTTCATTAGAATGGAATTAACTGAGCATTTCAATAGCACATCATGGCAATTAATATTATTCTTAACTATTTCCTTATTTTGCTTTCATGACTGTTTCCAAATGCCTTTGCAGAGTGTAAGTCAGGCTGTTTGCATGCTTGGCAATTCACCCCTCTTACTACACTGTGTAATGTGTACAAAGTCATCTGAGAAGGTTCAGTTTGGAGCAAGGAGCAGGGGTTGCATAAGTCCCTTGTTTCTGACATCGAATGGTGGAGATTTCAAGGTGAAAACCAACATTGAAAATATCCTTTTCTAGGAGGAACTTAGCTTGAGGGGCATCTTATCAGCTGATCCTTCCCAGGAGGATTTAATCTAATTGTTTAAATGGGGATTATCAGAATAGTTGATACCTCACAACCCTGGTACTAATGCTGTAACCTTCTTGTTCTCTTTGGCTGTGAATGTCAATCCTTTTATTCTATTTTAGAATCCTTTCATTCATTTTTAGCCCAGCCAAAGCCATGAGGGGCTTAAGAGTATTTCAACACTAGCCCAGTTCCATGTGTACAAATAGGAAAACATTCCCAAAGTGGTGCCACAGTTGAACTGCTCTTGGATGGGAATTGCCAGTTTTCTTCCTGTGCAGTTGGGCTGTGAGGCTCTATAGGAGCTGCAATGGCTTTGTTTAAATCCCCAGCAGTTTTACAGTATGCTAAGGACAATCAAATATTATTTTAATTAGTAGTTGCCTTCGGTTCCAACATGCTTTATTGGGCTATCAAGTAGCTGAGTCCATAAATCTATACATTATAAATCTAATGCAGTAAACACCCCAGAATGGAATCTTAATAGCACATAAGCTTGAGACAGCTTGCTGTGAAATTTCCATAAATATCTCTGAAGGGGTGTAGCAATATGAAGTGCATGAGAAATCAGAGTTTAAAAGAAGCAAACCAGCTGGCTTGTGTTACACACTAAAGTGAAACCCACTTATGTGAATAACTGACATGAATAAAACATTTACATGGGGCTGAGCAGTGCCTTGTACCTACTAGAGAAAGCTGTATCTTGCCCATGAATCCTCACCTTCTGACAATTTTTGAAATCACCCCTTTATTCAGCAAATCATTTCAGTCTCAGTAAATTATTTTCAATCAACCAGGTTGCCAGGATTGGTCACAAAGTGCTGCAAGTGTGACAAAACTTAACTTTTAGACTGCTAAAACTGGTGCGAGTCTGTGCTGGGCATTAAGACCAGGGATTACCGTGGGATAGCAAACTGTAATGTAAACTGTAATGAGCTACAGCTCAGTGTGCATTGGGAAACAAAGCAAGTTCAAGTGTCTTACTAACATAATATAAATTGTCAGTTCTCAGAAGGACAAAAATTACACTAGTAGGTAGGGAACAGCTTCACTGAGAATGTAACTTTCCTCCTGCCGGACAAGAAAGGTTGAGATTGACCTCAGATATGTTTTAAGATAACCTGGTGTACTTTAAAGTAACAGAGAAGGCAAGCACTGCTGTGTTTTGCACGTAGCAACACAGCCAGTCATTCACACACGGCACAGATTGGTGCCCCATCAGTCAGTGAGTGATAGAAACACAGCACTGGTGCCTGTTTTGTCACCAATGTACAGCTGGAATTTCTATCAGTGTTTATTTCAGCCAGTTTGGTTAAGAGGAGTTGAGATTCTGACCTCATTTGCTCAAGGGGACAACTGAATGTATCCTGATGGGGTTTTCAGCAGTCCACTGCCATTCCAAAGTAATGGAATAAAATCACAGAGAAGTCCAGATTGGAAGAGTCATCTCATTTAACCATCTATTGAAGAGTAAGTCACCCAGAGCCCTGCAAACCAGGACTTGGATATTTCCAGTCAGGGAGATTCCATCACCTACCTGGGTACCCTATTCCAAAGTTTAGTTGTTCTCACACTGAGGAATATTTTGTTAATCTAGACAGAATTTCCCTTGAAGCAACTTGTGCCCATTGCTTCTTGTCTATGCTGTAATTCTTTGTGAGAAGAGGGGGCTGAACAAACCCAATTCCTTCAACATTTCTTCGTGTGCCAAGTTCTGCAACCCTCTCATCATCTTGGTGACCTTCCACTGGATCCTCTCCAATTTTTCCATTGTTTGTCTTGAGCTTGGAGGACCAGTGTATTGAAGAAACCCCACATAATAAGGTAAAAAAGTTCATTAATTAATTTTACTTATTAGACAATTAAGACTGTTGGAAGAAATTTAATTACTGATTTTCTAATAGAAATTCCTGTCTGAAATAGACATTTTATCTGTAAATCCCAGAAACACAAAGGGGCTAATGAGCCCTTATAAAGTATCACCTACATCCAGATGAGTGTGTGTGCTCTTATCAGTCAGCTGGGAGGCATTAGGATGGGAAAAGTTTTGTAATAAGAGAAAAGCCATCATGTTCACTTTTAAAGTTAGACCTGTGGGTGGTTTTGCCCAGGCTTAGTTCAGGTTTAAAGCTGAATGAGTTTACTAAGTGTTGTAACCGATATTAGAACGAAATCCCACTTTTGTTCTATGCCCTAGCATTAAAGTCCAGCAGTGCAAACAGTGTGTGTTCATTCTATCATTGAACAGATTTTGTGAATTAGAAACTTCTGGGTTTGATTTTCAAACAGGAGAAACAATCTATGCAGAACTGCCCTCCCAGTGAGGCCCATACATGCTAATTTATGGTTATGTTCTGCCAGTTAAGAATCCCACAGGAACAGTATAAAACCCCAGAGCTGGGACACTAATTTTTCCCCAGAAAACCCATTCTGGTTAATCTCTTCCACCCTCCCACCTTGTTCACCTTTAACATATGGCAGCTCTGTATCATGAGACTGGCACCTAAAATTAGGTAGGGCCTTGCTATTCTCCCTCCTACTCCCACCCACTCCTTGCATATGTATATGGTTTGTAAGGACCAGCTGTGAATTTTGCCCCTGTAAACACTGTTTTTCTAGCATTTTAATAGGGCTACATTCCAAATATTCCACATTAACTGCTATTTTCCTCAAGAACATTTATCTGAAATTTCCCCGAAAGGCAAGGAAAAGTTACCAAATGTTTTAAACTTTTGGGATCTTCTCCCTCAGATGTATTAGGGTCTGTGATGTTTTCTATCTTACAACAAAGGGGAAACAGTAAGGTTTGATTTAAGGTTATCTTTCAGCAGTTTATCTAAAAATCAGAAGCTTTCCATGCAGGCCTTTTGTGCTTCAGTGTGTCAAAGAAGGCAATGAAGGTGCCTTCGCTGGAAGGCAGAGAATTTGTTCATGTTAAGTAGAAGCCTAAAGTCAATACTTATAAAATACAGGTTAGTAAAAACCATACATGATGTGTTCTGGTGGAGTTTGAAATCATGCCTAACAAATCAGGTTTTTACTTGGAAAGCTGACACATCATATATTCTATATTCAATATTTTATAATATTCTGGGTTTTTTTGGTCTTGCTTGGGAAAGACCCACCATTCATTTTACTGAAAACTGGGCATTCATAGAAGCTG